TTTTTTAGAGAATTGGTAATGTTTTATCTTGCTGATGTTGCTCAAGAATCTTGAAATTTTCCAAAGGAAGACTGCTTAAGGCATTTGGTAAAATATGTTCTGATGTGCCCTTAGATAATACATTATTTGCTTCTAAATTTTTCATCACGTATGTAGCTTTGATCCATCTTCGCGTTGCTCTACGTTCTTTTTGTAGGCAAATTTTCATTTTTCTTCTTAAGCTTGCTAATTCTTTTTCCAGTTTAATTATTCTCTTTTTTGCTTCCATAGGATTTCTAAAGGCGTAACTGTGTTCAAGCAGTACTTGTTGACTGCTAATGTTTGATTTTAGATTAGATGGTCCAGCTGGTGAGCAATTCTTGTTTCTCTTTAAAAGATTCCTTGATTTTAGTTCCTGAGCCAAATAAAATTAGAATTGAACATAAGTTATAAATATCACAAATAAGTAAATCCTATCCAGCTCTTGATAGCAGAGTACCGAATTCTCCTCTTAAGAAGTGACTTTAAAGACTGATGGGAAACAACAGTAGACTACCTTCTAGATTAAATTTCTCATTGGTTGAATGAATTCTAGTCACCTAATTCCTTTTTTTTTTTTGCGGAACTGGGGATTGAACTCAGGCCCTTGTGCTTGCCAGGCAAGCACTTATTCTACTGAGCCATCTCCCCGGCCCCTACCTAATTCCTTTTGATTGTTCTCTCCAGTTATTTAAACATTGATTTGAAAATAAACAACGGATTTCCAAAGCAACTTCCAAGTTTGAGTATGATTCTACGGAGACCTTAAAAATTCTTTGCAATTTATTAATTTCCTGCAACTTCAAAATGTATGTACACACTGCCTATCATATTGATTTTAATCTTATGTATTACTCTCTCAATTTGATGAATATTTCAGACTTGGAGACTACTGAAATAAAAACGGAAGGATCCACAGAAATGTATTTTGAAGTATCAAGCTTTTCAACAGATTAACCTGTTGCTTACAGTTCCATCTTCAAGGATTTAAAATCTGGCCAGGAACTTTTTGCCCAAATCAGAATCCCAAAGAACTCTTGTTATACTCCAAGAATATTAAGCCACTACATATAATCTTTCCAGATTGCGTCATATCTTCATAACACTTTTTCATTTCATTTATTTTTCCCATAATTTTTCATTTCATTTATTAACCTTGTTGAACATGTACTATGAATAGATTTCTGGGGAAATAATAGTGAACAAGATGGACAAATACGGTTCCTGCTCTCATGAAACCTACAGCTGGTCCCTTGGCACAGGGAATTTCCCAGAACTCTTTTGTTCTTCCTATCTTCCACCCTAGATTCTGGCATGATGCAAAGTTTAGTAAGTATTTATTGGACAAATAATCAAGATGTCATGAGTAAGGTACAATTGAAATTCAATAAACAGCTAAATACATACTATGGTCCAAGCACTGTTTGAGGTGCCAACATGTTGAAGATACACAAGTGAAAAAAATTTTGTTCTTATGCCTATTTACAAATTTAAGCATCACAAATAATTCAGAAAAAGCAGTGGTTTTTAAATTTTTTTTCCCTGAGGGAAAATTAAGTGTCCTTTTTTCATTGTTTGTTTCTTTGAGACACAGTCTCACCATTAGCCTAGGCTAACCTCAAGACTCAGTAATCCTCCTGACTCAGCCTCCCTAGTGATAGGATTACAGGCATGCACCATCATGTCCAGTGACATACGTCCTTTTAAAAGCTAAACCTTGTGTTTGTTTTATTCTTTTTCTTTTCTATTTCTCTATCTTAACTTTCCCTCTCTGATCAGATCTTCCCTAACTAGATATAAGATCAATTTTAATTTGTTCACTCTGTACTTTTTCTCCTTTAAAATAAAAAAAAAATCACTTTTTAACGTTTGATAATTTCTCACTTTTTAGCCCACTGGCTTTTGTTTTTACCTTCAGTTACAATTCTTCTCTACAAGGTCAGATACCTTTTCCAAACTCTCAAGTTCTGGAACCTAGATTAAATGAACGATTGAGCTTTTTTAAGTCTTTTCAGCTCCACTTCACTCTAACTTGTACCCTTACATCCTATAACTTAATGTGTTGCTCTTACAGCACTTAGCACGTTATTTATGTCATTCTAAAATAAGAGTGATGCTAGAGGTTTGATTATTAAAATTTCTCAGCTTTGCAAATAGTATATTTATTGATAATTGATAATTGTGCAAAACTTCTAGTACTGGCTGATTCTTCCTTATGCTTGGGACCTGAGTGATTCAGATTTTCAAGGTTTCCAGACTTTGGAATACTTAGACTTTACCAGTTGGGCATCTTTAATTCAAAAATTCACATCAGTGATGCTCTATCTATCCAATGTAACAACTTAAATTGGGGAAAGAATATTTGAGTCAGGACACCTGAATTCTAATTATAGATTGCTCATTTATTACCAAAGGGGAAGGTCTTGGGATAAACAGAGGAGACAGTAGGATGGGAAAGAGAAACGGAAGCAAAAACGATGAGGATGTTCTGTGTAAGTACCAATTCCTCAGAATGAATATAATTATTACTTATGTATGGCAAACATATACTAACAACAAAAACCTAAAAAAACCCCAAAAAACTAGAGGAAGATATGTGATAATGGAACATACCACTATATATAAATAGCAATGTACTCTGCTCCTTTGTATGAACAAAAAGCTGCTAAAAAAATCTTTTTAAAAAATAAATTACCTACCATAGACTTTATATGGGTACAAAAATCAAAAATGGTTGGAACAGCATCCATTTTAAGTCGTCGAGTTTGTCCTGTTAGGTCAAAACAGGAGGCTTCAAAGTGCTTTGAACAAAGAAAAGTGTGTTTTCCTGGCACAAAATTTTTGCGCCTAACCAGGCGAACCCATTCTTTTCTTCTTTTAGGATCCAAGGGAAACCTTAAACAAATAAAAAAAAATGGCCACTCAAATTCCAACTATCATACCTCTGACTAAATCTAAATGGTTAAAGAAATTTTATAGTATCTACCATTTACATAAAGAAAATGTAACTCACAATATCCAGACACTGGATTGAGCTAGCAGAAGAGACTGAAACAAAACCCCACAAAATTATTATAAAGAAATTTCAAAGCTAGGGGTTGACCAGAAAGCTCAGAGGGCTAAAGTGCCTGCTTCAGCAAGCTTAGGGATCACAGCTCGATACCTGGCACCACATGCAGGAGGATCACTATGAGTCCAAGCAGGATAGTTAGACCCTGCGACAACCAAATACATTTAAAAAAAAAAAAAAAACAACAAATTATGATATAGAGAGTATTTTTTTTTTCCCTTCTCCTCAGGGATTGAACTCAGAGCATATGCTAATCCCCACCACCCCTTTGAGACAAAATCTTCACTATTTTGCGCAGGTTGGCCTTGAACTTGCAATCCTCATTCCTTAGCCTCCTGAATAGCTTGGATTACCAGCATACATCAACACACATGGCTAAGGGAAGAATGTTATTTCAAGGAGGAAATGAACACATATCATGAAAAATGAATGTGGAAAAACACAGGTCATGTGAACAAGAGCAGTGTCAAAAGATTATTTGAGAAAGACTTCAGGGGATTAGGAAGAAAAACAGAGGCAGTAAATTTAGGTAACAACTTAAAAATGAGGATAAAGTATTTATGAATGTGTCAGAGAGGGACAGAAGTTAGTGAAACTGTTATGTTCATAGCGGACAATGATATGCACATAGTACAGCTTCCTATTTTTTATTAATTCTCATCCCCCAATCAAGTACACATTATGCTAGCAACTAAGGGGTAGTATTTTGCTCAGCTGACATTGTAGTAGGATTTCCCTGTGAAAGACAGAGCAAGTAGATTAACATTCTATAATAAACTCTTTTCTCATCAAATTCACTCTGATGATGCTTGACTACCACTTTAAGTAATGCTCTAATTCCTCTGATCACAGCCAGAGTACTTTTAAATATGTAAATCTAATCATGCCATTATTCTTTTTAAACCTTCCAGGGTTTCTCAAGTACTCTTAGAATAAAAGAGAAAATACTTAACTAGCATAGTGGACAAAGTCTATGTCTTCCTCTCCTCTCATATGAAATGTCACATCCTTTGAGGGTTTTTTTTTCCCCGTTCTTTCTTTCCAAGGCTAATTGAGGTCTCTCTGAGGGTCTTTTCTGGGGCACTTAACTGTAATTATTAACTTTATGGCTCCTTAGCACACTGTTGGACAATTAGGAACTCCATATATATGACAGATGAATGAATAAAACACTGTATGTGCATGAAGTAGTTAAAAAAAAATCACAGAATTCTTTTTAAGGGTCAGCTTTTACTGAGGGGGTGCATTTAGTAATAGTGAAGTAAGGAAAGGGCACAGACATAATTTCCTATATTCTAAAGTCAGAACTGGTTGGGTATGGTGGTGCACACCAGTAATTTCAGCACTTGGGAGGCCACGGCAGGGGGATTACTGAAAGTTCGAGGCCAGCCTGACCTACCTAGAGAAAAAAAAAATATCAGAACTGTTAATTTTTTTTTTTTTTTTTTTTTTTTTTTTGACTGAGACAAGCTTTCCTAGTTCAAGCTGGTCTTGAACTCCCAATGATCCTCCTCTGTCGGCCTCCCGAGTGCTGGGATTATAGGCCTGTGTCACCACGCCGAGCTCAGCACTTTAACTTTTTAGTATTTCTTTTCTTCAGGCAGATAGCAGGCACCTGAAGAGAAGGTGAACATTTATCAAAGAACCTATCATATTCCAAGCAGTGTTCAAAGTGCTTTCAAGAGCTTTGATTTGATAGAACTAAAGAATTTTGATGGCTTTTCCAGCAAATGAAGGAAAAACAAAAACTACGTTCGAGTGCTCTGTTCGAGAAAAGAAAATTTATCTTCTGCACTTTAACATCGCTGAATTTCATGGCTATCGGTGACAATGACTCCGTTACTCAGCAGTTATTATCAGAAACCTAATCGCTTCTCATGTCAATTCACCTAGTGGTATTTCCAAATATTAATAGGCATGTGATTTAGGGTGGTTGTAGACTTGAAGGGGAAAAGATCTTTGTGTCTCTATAGCGTCATTCATAACAAAACAGTCTAATACTTAGGGGAAGAGCGGAAAATAATAAGTATCCTCCCATCACTTTTTCTCTAGAGCCGTCATCGTACAGCATTTGAACTTCTTAAAAAAATGAGTTCTTTCCCCCAAACGAAAACGGACAGACACACATAAAGGACAAAATCAGTCCTTCCCTGACGCTGGCTGGGAAAGTCAAATTTGTGGAATCTTCCTGTTCCTCCGACCAGCGAAGCCCGGGAGGCCGCTCCAGCACCCACTCCCCTTCCCGGATTACCTGTGGAAGCTGATGTTTATGTGCTTGTTGTAGGTGGCGGCGCAGCCCGCCGCAGCACAATTGGTCGGCATGTCCCTTGCCCCCTCATTCGGCGCCGAGCGAAACCTGTTGGGGGGCGCTAGCTGCTAAGCTTCCCTCAGGCAGAAGCTCAGAACCATCGAGGCCGGCGGTGGGACCACCGAGCTTGGCGGTGACAACGGGGCGGGGAGAAGGGGCGCACATGGAGGTGGGGCGCGAGAGGGCCAACCTTCCCTTTATTATTAACGTGCCGCTTTCGAGCCAGCGAAGCCGACCACCCCGGAGCTCAGGCGCCTCCCGGTGCCTTCACCAAGATGGCGGACACTGCCCATTCCCCGCCCCCCGACAGAAATAGGGCTACTGCGTCCCTTTGGCAACGGTCTTTAGAGCAATTAAAAGAGGAGTTTTCCCCTCAGTTTACTGCGAACTTCTCCAAAGATGTCGCTAAAACCAAGCCAGCCCGCCACGGCCCGCACTCACAGGTCCCGAGCTAGACCCGAGGATGGGCGTGGCGTAGACCGGAAGGACGCGCCAGGTGTTAGACGGGTCCGACAAATCTCAGCGCGTGCGGTCCGCATTCTCGCGAGAACTGCAAACCTCGCTTCCGGCGTGCTGCCGGAAGTGACGGCGCGGGCTCGGCCGCTAGCGGAGCCCCTTTCTCGCGAGGCGGAAGATTCCTGATCGCTGAGGAGCAAGGGGGCGCTAGGAGAGGGAACTGGCTTGCGACGGTCCGGCGTGAAAGAGCTGGGGTGCGGGGAAGTTGGGGCGCAGCACCCCTAGGTGTCCGGATACAGCAGGGCCACACCTGCTAGGTCCGTTAGGAAAGGAGGGAGCGGAGGAGGAAGGCAGTTGTCGGGCGGATCCCCGGACGGAGGGCTAAGGCGGTGTTGGAAGGCGCTGCTCCCCGGATGGCGACCGCGGACACTTCGGCCCCGGCCTCCAGTGGCCTGTCGCCGAAGGAAGAAGGGGAGCTCGAGGATGGGGAGATCAGTGACGACGATAATAACAGCCAGATCCGGAGCCGGAGCAGCAGCAGCAGCAGCGGCGGCGGCGGCGGCGGGCTGTTGCCGTACCCGCGCCGGAGGCCTCTGCACCCGGCCCGGGGCGGCGGATCCGGCGGCGGCGGCGGCTCCTCGTCCTCGTCCTCGTCCTCCCAGCAGCCGCTGAGGAATTTCTCGCGCTCGCGGCACGCGTCGGAGCGGGGCCACCTCAGGGGACACAGCAGCTACCGACCCAAAGAGCCTTTCCGGTCTCATCCGCCCTCGGTGCGGATGCCTTCGAGCTCCCTGTCCGAAAGCAGCCCCCGGCCGTCTTTCTGGGAGCGGAGCCACATTGCCTTGGACCGTTTCCGCTTTCGAGGCAGACCGTACAGGGGTGGGAGCCGCTGGAGTCGGGGTCGAGGAGTGGGTGAGCGAGGAGGCAAGCCGGGGTGCAGACCTCTGGGGGGAGGAGTGGGACCCGGATTCAGCAGCAGCCAGAGCTGGCGAGAGCCCTCTCCGCCTCGGAAGAGCTGTATCCTTGCCGTGGCGCTCGGCCCTGGGTGTGTCACTGAAGTTCCCCTTTGCGTCATTAACTAGGTCCATAAGATGAGTGTAACTTTGCCGGGCCGCTCGCTCGTTCTTGTCAGTGTACTTGAGAGTTGTTCGGGAGTTTCCATGTGGCACACTCGCGATGTTGCTGAGGTTGCATCATCGGTTTTTGACATTACCTTGTTATGGATTGGGGTACTAGGGGGTCACAGATGGTAAGACTTGGATAGTATATTGGAAGCCCAAACTAATGTAAGAGTGTATTGATTTTTTTTTCTGATACGAGAACTTTGAGTTTTATTTGCATGTGACTTAGATTATTAGGCAGGAAAAAATGGCCAATATTTTTGAAAATACTGTACTGTGACTTGTATTGCGCCTTGGCATTGGAAATCGTAAACTTTTGTTCAGCTCCCAATTCTCACCGTTCTGTGATTGCGTTTACCTTTCTCCCGCAACCTCCTTGCTGCCTTAGAGTTCGGGGAAAGAGATACTGTGTCTTTACTAACAATATCGATTTAGATGTTTTTAAAGGTTTTCATAGGCTTGGAAAGCTATATGCTCATTAACGACTTACATGTTGCCTTTCGTATATTTTGTAACTTGTAGTGGTGTTTGCATGGGGGCCAGACAGTTTAACAGCACTTTTAAAGTATTAGATAGGGAGACCTGTTTCAGATTATGGACAAGTTTAGAAAGAAAACAGCAAAATACGTGATAATTTGTTGCTCTCTTAAATCTTGTTCTCAGTTATCTTCAACATTACTGAGTTTACTGAAGATTTATACCAAGAAATTAGTCATCTGAAGGTTTCCTGTTTTATAGAATTACGTCTTAATTACTCTGTAATAACTGCATAGAAATTTACGAAGGAATTTCATTAGGAGCTGTAATTCTCATGTAATTTTTAGTATAAAATTTACATATAATTATATTTATTTGAAAGATACTCAAAATTATTTTTATAGAATGCTTAGGTCCAGAATGGGCTGTCCCAGATAGCATGATTAATGGGGCTAGCAATGTTTAATTAGGTAATAGCAGCTTCTGATCTTGGTGCTCTGAAAAAACTTACTTATGCAACTAGACGTTGTATTAAGAGCATGTGAGAATTGTTTCACAAATTATTAAGTACTTAACTTTTAAACACAATGAATATTCTTTCAAGAAGATTAGAAAATTTGTGTCCAGAATATTTTTTTTTAATCCATGGATTTGTTGATCTGAATCCAAAACCAGAAGGGCTATTCAAGCATATATGTGAGTTTTTAAAAGAGAATATAGAAATGAAACTTACGCACTTTATTTTGGAGAGACAGACAGAAATAAACGCAGTTTAGTGAAAAAGTTCAAGTTGAGGTATACAAAAAGGGCTATGACAGCGTATAGCTTTATTCTTATTTTATTCAGTGCTAGGAAAGTAGGTGAGGCCGACCAGATAGCTCAGAGGTTTAAAGCTCCTGCCTAACACAGGGACCAGGTTTGAGCCCTAGCATGCTTTGCCTGCCCTGCTTGTTGGCCCTGCCCCAGGGCATCCTGAGACTGGGCATGGCAGCGCCCACCTGTAATTCCAGCACTTGGGAGTCCGATCTGTGTACTGAGACTCTGCAGATCATGTACTAAATACGTTTAAAAAAAGAAAGAAAATGGGGAGATGAGTGGCCCTCGTCTTCTTGCCTTTGTCTTCTGTGCATTCAGTAAAAGTTTGGGCCTTTGGCATATACCTTTATTAATTTCTGTGTTTATACACATTTCTATTAAGCAGGCATATGGAATTGTAAATAGAGTGTAAGAAATTATGCAATCTCAGTGACTTTGATTTTTGTAATAACTTGTTAAAAGCAAGCTGTGCCTGGTGGTGCACATCTGTAATATCAGCACTATGATAGTCTGAGGCAGGAGGATCACTGTGAGTTTGAGACCAGCCTGAGCTTACATAGTGAGACTGTCCCCGAAAAGCCAGAACAACAATATTAATAGTAATATAACTTGTCAGAAACACTCTTGCTGTTTTTTTACAATGCTGCCCTCTACGAAAAGGATGCTTATTTAGATCCTTTGCCAAGGTTTTCATCATGAGGTATCGATAATCCATCCTAGCAATGATGTCAGAATTTGCAAAGAAAAACTTAATTTTTAGTTCTCAGCTACTTTTGCATAATACAAGCAATTAAAATTTGTAGTGTAAACCTTAATTCTTTTCATATCAGTATTATATGCTTAATTTGTATTTCCATTGTGAAAATAAAAATGTCTATAAATATTGTATAAAAAGTGACAGCAGATACATGGCTTTCAATAATGTAGAAATGAAGTTTTTGGTTTTTTTGAGAAATGAAATATGTTGAACACAGACTTTTTGGTCCTAATTTTTTTTAGTTTCAGTAATTTCAGTAGCTTCAGCTTTAAACAGAATAAATCAGATTCTAGTATAGCTGTTTATTCTTGTTCACTTTGAATTTTTCAAAATATTAGACACTTTGTCTTTGAGCCTAAGTCTCACTTGGATGATGACTGTTTTAAACTTCTAAATCAGATGAGAACTAATATAATTAGGCCATTGTCTGTCACCAAGAGAAAACATCATTCCATTTTCAGTTGCCGTTGAAAAGGTTGTATAGCATGTTAATTTTTATTAGGTTTTATAATTTTGTGTGTGTGTGTGTGTGTGTGTGTGTGTGTGTGTGAAGAATCAGAGTCAGGACCCTGTACTTGCTGCCGCTATTTCCCAGGACCTAAATTTTGGTATTTATTTATTTTTGTATTTTAGAACAGGGCCCACAGGGCCCACAGGGTCTCACTGTGTAGGTTGGACTCGCAGTGATCCTCCTGTTGAAAGCCTTCCCAGAGCTGGGATTACAGATTCGCACTACCATGTCCAGTCTCAGTGCCCCTCACCCCTGTACAGCGGGCACGGGAATCGAACTTCTGGCCACTGTATCTGCCTAAACAGGTGCTTTAATCCACTGAGCTATTTGGACCGCCCTTAAAATTTTATTTTTAGAAACAATTCTTTTTTAAGATTTAAATTGGAAATTGCACCTTAAAGTTACATCTGGGATGTACTGGTTTTATTCTAGCTACATAATTAAAGTTAAGAGGTTTTGTGTAGTCATGAAGGACATTAGTCAGTCATAAGTCAATTGCTTTTCCTAATTTTCCTATTCCTTAGTTATTTCACTTTTTGCTAATCTATGGAGTCTTTTGGCTTTGAATACTTTCCCAAGGTCTTTAATCTATTCACTCTTTAATTGTTGCAGTTGTACATTTAGATGGCTTGAGGCAAAGCCAGATGTAAATGCAGATAATTTCAGTATTTGTGTATAAAAGTGCTTAAGAAAAGAGGGGAGAGAAAATAATTCTGGATTCAACCAGGAGGTTATGTGAAGTGAGGTGGAGTTGAATGGAGAAACAGGTACAAAGCTATACACAAATTGTTTTATTTATTTATTTATTTTTATTTTCAATCATCGGGGAGTCAAGGGGCTCTAAGTCCAGCCATGAAGATGGCTTTCCGGAACTAAGAGAGAGTCCCAGGGCCTCACCTGGTTTTTATTCAGTGGGGGACAAATTGTGATTAGCAGGGAAAAGGTAAGTTGAAAAAGTCAAAAGGTCAGATCATAAGATACCCATTGAAAGGAATGAGTTTTAGGACTATTCTACTGAAATTTAAACGAGAGTTAACTGATTAGATTTGTACTGTATTCTAATGATTATTTTGTCAGAATTACAGGACATGGCTTGTGGGGAGATAGGCAATTCAAAATGCTGTATCTAATTGGGCCAGTTTTTCTCATGTTATGTAGAACTGTGGGAGTACTTTGAATGCTTTAAATCAAAAAGCAAGAGTCTTAAAGGAGAGCTTACTAGAGAGCACAGTTATTTCAAGAATCAAGAAAAGAGGTCATGAATTTAACAAAGGTAGAGAAACAAGGGGACAGTGATGGATGGGGAGCAGTGGTGTACAGCATCAAATGCTGAAGCGAAGTCAAACCTTACAAAGTAAGGTTAGAGAATATTAGTAGACACTCAGTTTGAGCAGTTGCTGTTGAATTAAGGCACAAACCCACTTTCATTTGGTCCTAGAGTGAGTAGGTTAGAACTCACTGGTGTTCTTTCAAAAACTTCACTCTGAGGGTATCAGAAAGCTTTTTCTAGAAGTTTTGCTATAGAACTGTAAAATACTTTCTGTTGTATGGCACAGCTTATCTTCTCACATTGGGTGGTGATTCTCAATTTTGTACTGTTTACTAGAGAGGTTAAAGATCTTTTGCTGTCTGCTTGTCCTGTAGATTGTTAAACAGGAAAAAAAATCATTCATGGAACATAATGTAACATTGTAATCAATGGAAAATGATCTGTAAATAATTTGTTTTAGAACCATGTAAGGAAAAAAAAATAAAAAACATGTAAGGTTCTGGCTAGAAAAACAAGGTGTAATAATGTTTATATAATGTGAATTAATTTAGAAAATACATTCTGAATATTTTATTTTTTATAACTTCTGCATATGTTGACTATTAATGTAGTTGAGCTCTGAGCTTGTTATGTATTACACTTTTAAGAAAATGTCTCTAATTCATAAATTGGGCTAATTGTCAGTTTATTGTCTTAGTTTTTAAAAAATTTGAGAGATGAGAAGAATCTAAAGACAAGAAACATTTCCTCCTGATTACCTGAAGTGTAGATTATCTACACTCAATTTTTGTCCTTACCCTTCAGAAAAAAATCTTAAACATCCAGATTGTTTTGAGATTTCCTGGTACTTAGAGAAAAAAACACTGGTATCTATAACCTAACATCTGGATTGTTTTGAGATTTCCTGGTACTTACAGGAAAGACAATGCTATCTATAACCTAGCTAGGTAGATTTTCCATGGATAGTAATGGTAATTATTGAAACCAATGATTTTATAAATGATCTATTTCATGAATGCTTGTTGAATTAAAATGTGGGTACTTAATGAAAGTGGGTATTAAATTCACATTAAATGGAATATAGTAATTTAAAATTATCAATTCATGTTCTTGAAAAATTTAAAAGAAAATTCATCTGCATTTTTTTAAATTTGACTCAGCTTTTCAAAACTGATTTCCTTAATGTGCTGTTCAGCCAAAAGTTTTGGAAGATCTCCATCAAGAAAACAGAATTATTCATCAAAAAGTGAAAACTGTGGGGAAGAAACTTTTGAAGATTTACTTTTGAAATATAAGCAAATACAGTTGGAGCTAGAATGTATCAATAAGGATGAAAAATTAGCTTTGAGTAGCAAAGAAGAAAATGCACAGGAAGACTCTAGTAAAACGAACTCTGAGGACCAAACCAGCACTGATAATGTCAGTATTACAAAAGACTCAAGTAAAGAAGTAGCTCCTGAAGAGAAAACACAGGTTAAAACTTTTCAGGCATTTGAATTAAAACCACTCAGGCAAAAATTGACTTTACCAGGGGATAAGAACAGATTGAAGAAAGGTAAAGATGGTACGAAACAGCTTTCCCTGAAATCCGAGGCCACTGAATCTAGTCAAGGTAATGGATTAGATATTTTAAATTGTGGTTAAGACTCCAAAGGAGTGCCAGTGTATGGCACACACCTGTAATCCATGCTTGTGGGAGGCTGGAGCAGGAGGATGAGGAGGGTCACTGCCAGCTCAAGGCCAGCCTGGGCTACGAAGTGAGTTCAAGGCCAACCTGAGCTGCATAATGAGACTCCATCTCAAAAAGACGCCAGCAGTGCTTAAAAGGAGTAACTAGTTGTTTTGAAAGTGCATATTATTGAAAAGATTCTAAATTGTTTTGTACTTTTTTTCGTAATTGTTCATATTATTTAATGATAACAATTTTTGCTTCCTTCTAATCTTTATTTACTTATTTTTTGGTCTGACATGCTAACCTGGACTTACAGTGTTGCACATAAGTGATAATAGTAGCATCTTTGTTTTGTGACTAGAATACTTTTATCATTTGCCATTTCACTTGATATATAAATTTTTTTGTAGGGTTTTTAAGGAAGTTTTTCTGTGTAAAGGGAAGGCTTTTTCCTATTCCTACTTTGAGATTTTTATCTTAAGTGGTTGTTGAAGTTTGTCATGTCTTTTTTCATTTTATGAACATTTATAATAATTAATGTAATGAATTACATTAATTGTATGGTGTTAAACCACCCTTTTATGCCCAGGTAAGTAGTTCATAGTAATATAAATCACAGATTTATTTTTATTTCCTTTTATTAAGGTAGAATATATATGTAGTAAAATTTACTCATTTTAAAAAATAGTTGACATTTTAATATGCAGGCAAGTAGATAATATCTTTAGCTACTACAGTTAGTATATAGGATAGTTCCATTTGCAACCCCTAATGCAATTTCCTCATCTCTTTTTTTATTTTCGTAAAGGGTCTACAGGGTATCACTATGTAGATTGGACCAGACTGGTAGTGATGCATTTGTGTTCAGCCTCCCAAGAGCTGGGATTACAGGCGTGTGCCACCATGCCTAATCTCGTGCTACCACTGCATGGCACAGCACACTCGGGGATCGAACCCCTGCCTGCTGAGTCTGCCTAAGCAGGTGCTTTAATCCCCTGAGCTATTTGGCTGGCCCCTCAATTCACTTTGTAAACTCCCTAAATCTTAACCAGTTTGATAAGTACTGTTCTGTCCCTGTGGTTTTGCTTTTCCAAGAATATGACACAAATGGTATCACACAGTATATGCTTTTTAATTCTAGCTTTTGTTTTCACTTAGAATATATTTGAAATTCATTTAAATAGTTGAGTATATTGATAGTATATTCTTTTCTTTGCTATGTTTCTGAGATTGACTCACTGTATATAGTTCATTTACTTTCCAGTTGAGGAACCGTTGATTTTTCCATTTTTTT